TTGTTGTGATTGTGGGAGGTGGTGAGTACCAGCATTTACCTATGCTGCCATATTGGTTCCTCCCATTCCTGATACATGATCAGCAATTTTTTTTTAAGAAAGAAAGAATGTATAATTTTATTATCTAGAAATAACCACTGATAGCATTTGGTCATGTTGTTTCTTTCATTCTTTATACTTCCACCAAAAATGAATGAGAAATACTGCTTTTTAACATCCCTGACTTCACTGGGTATTATAGTTCTTATAGATATTTCCCAAATTTATAGGTGACAAGTGGCATCCTCCTTTTTTGCCCACTTCCTATTAATGTATTCATATTTTAAACATTGATTCATAAAAACTATGTATCAAAATGTATCCACTTTAAAGACACTTGTTACACATTTTTTTTCTACTTTTTCTTTATTTTTTGTATGGCTTTTATTTTTTGACATCCAAATTTCAATTTCACACAAGTCAATTCATGTTTTCTGACTTGTTTTTTGCCTTTCAAGTTATCACTTACTTACATTTTCTTCTACACTTTTTTGGGTTTATATTTAAATCTGGCAATTAATTTTTTAAAAAATATATTTTATTGATTTTTTACAGAGAGGAAGGGAGAGGGATAGAGAGTTAGAAACATCGATGAGAGAGAAACATCGATCAGCTGCCTCCTGCACACTCCCTACTGGGGATGTGCCCGCAACTAAGGTACATGCCCCTGACCAGAATCGAACCTGGGACCCTTCAGTCCACAGACCCGACGCTCTATCCACTGAGCCAAACCGGTCAGGGCTGGCAATTAATTTTTATTTATAACTTGAAGTAAGGTATAACAATTTTTCAGATAGTTAGCTAGTTGTCCTAATGGCAATTACTAAATAATTGATGTTTCTTCACTTACCAGTAGTTTTTATATACTCAACTTTGTATATATGTCTGGATGTGTTTGGGCTTCCTGCTTTGTTCCACTGATCTGTCTTACTAATGTCACAATATTTCAATGCCACTTTAGTTACTGTAAGTTTTTTAAATATACATACATTTGTATTGATTTCAGAGAGGAAGGTAGAGGGGGAGAGAGATAGAAACATCAATGATGAGAAAGAATCATTGATTGGCTGCCTCCTGCACACCCACACTGGGGATTGAACCTGCAACCCAGGCATGTACCCTGACCAGGAGTTGAACCCTGACCTCCTAGTTCATAGGTCAATGCTCAACCAGTGAGCTGTAATTTTTTAATATCTTCACTTTTCTTCATTTTGTCATTACTCATTTGCAATTTCCATGACAGTTATTTTCAACTACAGAAACCTGATGTGATTTTTATCACATTATATTAAATTTATATACTGAATTAAAAGACATATTTTTAAAGATAATCAGGCTTTCTTCCTAACTTTATAATATATCCCCTCTTTTCAGGCCCTTTGTTCTATTTTTCTGAATTTTTTTTTGTTACATTTATTCCCAGATGTTTTGTTGCTATTTTGAATGGGAAATTTCCCCATTATATTTTGAAGTTTACATTCTGGCTGACTCTTGAGTTTTATATTAATTAACTAGTGGCCTGGTGCAAAAATTCGTGCAGGGGGGTGTGTGTCCCTCAGCCCGGCCTGCACCCTCTCCAATCTGTGACCCCTTGGGGGAACCGCTTACCAGCCTGCCTGCCTGATCGTCCCTAACCACTCTGTCTGCCAGCCTTCTCACCCCCAACTGCCCCCCCCCCACCCCCCGCTGTTCCATTGTTTGAACAGGTCCTTCCTTACTGGAACCCTCGGGCCAGTTACCAAACCATAATAAAGGCCACA